AGGACACCGAGCCGAGCAGCAGCGAGAGCCGCACGGGCCTCTGTTCCCCGGAGGACAACTCGCTGACGCCGCTGCTGGACGAGGTGGCTGCTCCCGAGGGCCGGGCAGCCACGGTGCCCCGGGGGCGGGGCCGCAGCCGCGGGGACAGTTCCCGTAGCAGCGCCAGCGAGCTGCGGCGCGACTCTCTCACCAGCCCCGAGGACGAGCTGGGGGCAGAGGTGGGCGACGAGGTGGGCGACAAGAAGAGCCCATGGCAACGGCGGGAGGAGCGGCCGCTTATGGTGTTCAACGTCAAGTAGCGCCACTGCCCGCCCGGCGCCACTCCCGAGCCCGCCCCAGGGTCCACGGCCCGGGGTGTTGTGGGAGCACCCGCTCTTAGCCCCAGTGCCGTACCTGGCAAGGTGCCCGGGGCCTGCGGAGCTGTCCAGTGATATGTACTGGGTAATGTCTGGAAGGGACCCCCATGTGGGCTTCCAGGCAGAGGGAGGTGGGAGGGGTCCAGGCCCCCATCAGGAGGTGCTGGGAGGAGGGCTGGGTGGGGGGAAGCAGTGCCTGTATACAAATGGCTGTACATAGAAAGCTCTATGTGGGAAAGCAGGAGGGGTAAAAGGGCCCCAGCTGCTAGCGTGTGAGGGCTGGGAAGGGTGGGGGCATTCCCTGCGAACCCAAGAGGGGAAGGGTGCTGCTTGCTGACTAGCCCGCTCCTCGGCTACAATGTCACAGGGCGGGTGGCAGGGGCAGCTCTGGGGACTAGTGGGGTTATGTGATGGGGCTGCTGTGGGCAACAGCAAATATAAAACTGGTGAGATTAACTGTGTTTGTCTTTCTGTGGGGTAGGGGGGAGGTTGACACTGGATGACGGGTCCCCTGGGAAGAGCAGACAGGGTGGCCAAGTCAAGAGACAGTTGAAGTGTACAAACTTTATTGGAGCACACACACACGCACGCACACGCACACCTATGGATGGGGAGAGCACCTGGCCACAGGGTCCACAGAAATTGGAGGAGGGGATGGCAGCTTTTAATGTGGCTTTTGCCACAAGTTCCCCCTTTCCAGTGGGAAGGCCTTAGGTGGAAGCCCCACCTCCTATGGGGAAAAGGACTCAATGCAAAGGGTGTCAGGGAGAATTTGGTGGGAGAGAGGTGCTGGGGAGGCCTGAGCAGTGGGCACCCTCTGAGCAAGGTCCCCAGGGCTGTGGAATGTCTTCAGTCCTTAGTTCCACCTCATAGCAGCTGTCTCTGAGCTGGGCCCCTCACAGGGGTGTCCCAGCGCAGGATCTCCTTGGGCAAACACTTGGTACCCCTGGCCTTACAGCGGAAGCCAGCAGGACAGCAGTGACGCTTATCTGTACAACAGATGCCCTGGATAGTCAGAGAGGGGTGTGAGAGTCAGACAAGGTAGGACCTGGCCCGGGCCCTTACCCAGCCCAGGGGTAGGGGTGGCACTGACCTGGCGGTAGGGACAGCAGCCCCAGCCCCCATGGCTGTCTCGGCAGCACGTCTGGTTATCACGGCAGAAGTGGCTCTCCCCACATGCCACATCTCCCACGCCCACGTGAAGGCTGTGGGCCAGCTGGGTGGCGGGCTGGGTAGAGACCACCTCCTTCTCACAGGTGCGGGCCTTCACATTGCAGGTATACCCTGCTGGGCAGCAGTGCTGGCGATCCTCACAGCACACAGCCTGGGGGCGATGAGGGGGTACACGGTGGCAATGCACTCTCATTCTGCCTCCCACACCCTAGGATTGAGCTTCCTACCCAGGGTCAGGCAAGTGGGCACTCACGTGGGGCAACTGGCAGCAGGCCCAGCCCCTGCTCAGGCTTTGGCAGCAGGTCTGCCCCACTGGGCAGCTAGTGTGCTGGTCACAGCTGGTGTCTCTAGGGTGAGACAGGGAGGCCTGGCGGGCGGGCATCTTCTTCAGTGCAGCCACCGTCTTGTCCCCCTGCTGACACTGCCCCTCGTCCGTGCACGTGTAGCCATGGGGGCAGCAGTGTTGGTGGTCCGAGCAGCAGACAGCCTGGAGGGTGAGAAGAGGGTGGTCTAGGGAGCTGCTGTGCGGGGCGGGGTGCCGAGCCCTCACCCACCCTGCCACTCCTGCTCACAGCTCCTCTGGCTGGAAACAAATCTGACAGAGCTGGCACGCCACCCCTGGGCTAGGAAGAGGGCAGACGAGCAAAGTGACAGGAGTCTGGCCACCTGTCCAGGCCAAGACACTGTCCCCCCGTGTTGCCCCCCTACCCATGTACCTCTGGCGCAGGACAGCAGCCCCACTCCCCAGACAGGAGTCGGCAGCAGGTATTGAAGGGGGGACAGCTGGTGACGTTGTCACAGGGGACATCACGCTCTATGGCCTGGGGGTCTGGCAGGCTGAGGTGGGCTGGGGCCTTCTTCATCCAGGGCTCCTGGCGGTTCCCCTGCTCACAGGTCCCCTTCTCTGTGTCACACCTAAAGCCTGCCGGGCAGCAGTGCACATGGTCCTCACAGCACACAGCCTGGGGGGATGGAGAGGGGCTGGTTGGCACAGGGGCCTAGCTGGCTGCCACCCTCTGCTCAGCCCACCCAGCACTCCCAGGTACCTGGGCAAACGGGCAGCAGCCCCAGGCCCCTGTAGAGAGGCGGCAGCACGTGTAGCCATCCGGGCAGCTCACCTCCGTATCGCATTTCACCTCCTGCACTGTGAGGCGGGCAAGGACAGGTCAGCAGTGGCACCGGGGACCCATGGGTGCCCGTCCTTTGCTGGCTCCACAGCCAGAACCAATGAGCAGAGAGCACCACTCATGGCACCCCTGACAATGACCACAAGGCAAAGCCCAGGATGGAGAAGAGGGGCTGGCACCTGCCCGGCTCCCTCCACACCACCGTGAGCACCCATCCCCGACATGTATTCCTGGGACAGCCTGGTAGACTCCTCCTGACGGGTAGGTGGAAGGAGGTCCGTGGCCTGCCTTTGGTACCTGTGTGCGCGGGCAGCTTGGTGAGGAGGTCTGTGGCATTCTCCTTGGAGAGGCACTTACTCTGGATCAGGTCGCACATAGTGTCCTGGGGGCAGCAGTGCAGGTGGTCGGAGCAGCAGATGGCCTAGGTGGCGACAGGATGGGTCTTTGGACTGCGAGTCTCAGTCGGGCCCAGGAAACAGCCAGGCTGGCAGCTAGCACTACCCAATCCCCCACTAGGGGGTGGCATGAGTCCTGAGTCAGCCAGCAATTACCCAGCCAGCCCCCAACCCTGGAGCCCCCAAAAGGCCAGGTGGCGGTGCCACTCACTCACATTGGGCATTGGGCAGCAGCCATACTTCCCACTGGGCAGCTCACAGCAGGTAGAATCGTCAGGGCACTGGGACTGTGCATCGGGGCACATGACAGCAGTGGGCTGGGCCACTGGAAGGGGAGAGGGGGTGAGGGGCAGTGGAGGGGCAGTCTTTCCCAGCTGAGAGCCAGATAAGGCTTCTCCTCACCCCTAAACCCCACCTGATGCTCTTCCACCTCCTTGTTCATTGCCGTTGAGTCGATTCTGATTCATAGTGACCCTGTAGGACAGGACACAACTGCCCCATAGTTTTCTAGGCTGTAACCTTTCTGGGAGTAGACGACCACATCTATCTCCCATGGAGTGGTTGGTGGGTTTGAACTGCCAACCATTCAGTTAGCAGCTCAGCCCTTAACCGCTGTGCCACCAGGGCTCCTTTCCCACCCCTTTACCTGCCCTATTAGTCTTCCGTGCAGGGGTCTTCTTGGCCAAGGGGTAGGTGCCCGTGGGCATGAGGCAGCGGGCCTTAGCCAGGTCACAAGAGGTACCATGGGGGCAGCAGTGCACCTTGTCTTCGCAGCAAGAAGCCTGAGAAGAGACAGTCCTGACTCATCTTCGCCTCCTGCAGTCCCTGGCTCTGCTCCGGCGCCCTCCAACCCCATCTCCCCAGATCCGTACCTGGGGCATGGGGCAACAGCCCCAGGAGCCATCAAGCATAGCGCAGCACGTGGAGGAGTTGGGGCATTCGAACTGGCTATTGGGGCACCGGACAGCACCCAAGGGGTTGGCATCTGTGGACAGCAAAGTCATTGTTCCCCATCACTCAAAGAGCTGGTGGCATTGGGGCCGGCAGACCAGCTACCAGGGGGCTGAAGGACTGGCACTAAGGCTCGGTGACCTACCAGCCACCCCAACCCACTTCCCCTACAAGCTAGTCCCTGCCCCAACAAGATGGCACAGGGCAGGAGCCTTCACTCTGGGCGTTAAACCAGACCAGCTTGGCCTCTACCCACCCCCGCAAGGCCTGGACCAGGGGCCTGGAGTCCTGGATTCCCTCCTGGCCCCAGTGCTGCCCCTCTATCCAAAGCAGGGTTGCTCAGTACACATGCCACATGAATGAAGGCACAAGGGTAGGTATCAGGGTCGCTCAGGCAGTGGGGCTCCTGGGTGCTCCACATGCCACCTGTCTGCCTCCCTGCACCCCTAGCCCCACTGCACCTTGTCTGCGAAAGCAAGACCACCCATCAGCATTGCAGTGGAAGCCCCGGGGGCAGCAGTGGCGTCCATCCCTGCAAGACACGGCCTGTGGGACACAGAGAAGCCTGCGTTGGCGAGGTCCTCCCCCCGGGGTGGAAGAGTATAGAAAAGTAAATGCAGACCTAAGCGCATCCACTGAGCCAGTGGCACCCTCACCTCTGGTAATGGGCAGCAGCGGGAGGTTCCCGAGACAGTGAGGAGGCAGGAGGAGCCAGCAGAGCAGTGGGCATCGGTCTGGCAGGGGGGGCCCAGACGTCTGCTCCATGTTGTGGGCAGAGAGGGCCATTTGTCCTGGGAAGCGACGGAAGAGAATAAACTGAAGGGCCTGTGCCTGGTCTCCTCCTCAGGCCAATCTGGGGAAACCCAGGCTCCCAGCTTCTACCTGGGCTGAGGGGTGCTCACCAAAATGGGGTTGCAGCAGCTGTAGCTGGCTCCTCCTGGGTCCAGGCAGCAGGCCACGGAACAGAACTGACCATCTGGGCACTGTGTTCCAGCCACCAGCCCTGCCACCAAGGCCACCCAGCTCACCAGGGTCCACATGGTACACCTGCAAAATACCAAGCAACATTTGGCAACTAGCTTAAGCCCACGCTACCCTTGATTCTGAGGCCACTCACTGGCTCAGGCCCAGGCCCAGGCCTACCTGAGCCTCCCCAACAACTCCCTGTCCAGGTAGGAAGAAAGACATGGGGTCTGAGATGCCGCTTCTACATGTCTCCTATGTGTGTGTGTCACATGCAAAGTATGTATTCCCACGGGTGTGAATGGTGACATGAATCTGTGTCCCCACCATGGCTAACACCTGAGTCTCTGTGGCTGTGTGGAGATGTCTACATGTGACAGTCAGGAGGAAGTATGGTTTTTGTGGGTCTCACCCGTGGGGACATGGGCCATCTGGATGGGGTAGGGTGGGGTGAGGTAGGATGGGGTGGGCAGCAGTATCCACGGGAGAGAACAGGGATGGGGTGGCAGGAGGGGGCTCCATGGCTCCTCTTCCAGATGCCTCCCTGCCTGCTGGTGTGCATACACATGTACCCCGCTATGGCCTATGTACGTGTGGGGAGTCACATGATGACATCGGAAACCACAGGGTTGAGAAAGTTATGAAAAAGGAAGTGTGGTGGACAGTGGAGTCTGGGCCTCCTTCCCCAGAGGCCAGCTGACTGTCCCCCTACCCCTACCCCCATGGAGAGAGACACAAGGCTAGGGGGGTCAGCCTTTGAGACACCTGTTCTTTGAGGGCCCCCAGTACCACCAGGGCCCTCTCAGACTACTCAAACCTACCAACCCCCACCCCTGCTTCTCCCCTACCCTGAGAGCTGAAACTCAATCCCACGCAGAGAGACCACATGCGACACACAACGGCCTCCCTACCCTCCACCTGACTTAAGTCAGCAGGAGGAACGGAGCCTCTCACTTCCTAAACACCTCTCCCCACAAGCTCAGCAGCCCGGCTAGAGCAACAGGGCAGGCCTGGGAGGTGTTCGCCTGCCGGGTGTGTTTGTTGAGCCCCTTGGGAACCAATTATAACACTATTTTATTTCGTCTTCGCAATAACCATCCAAAGTAATAATTATTCTCTTTACTTTTCGAAGGCGAAAACAGGCTCAGAGATGTTAAGAAGTCATGGTGATGACAGGCTTTGATGGCTCCACAGCTTATTGGACCTGGGTTCTTCTCACAAGTGATGCCCCGAGCAGTGCTCAGGAATGGACCCCCCAACCCCAGACAGAGGCCTGGGGTCCAAGCAGAGGGAGAGGACAGAGGCATTTCCTGGGCAGGTAGGCAGGGCAGGGAAGAAACAAGGGAACAGGGGCTTTGTGAAAACTGCACTTGGGTCCTAGTCCTAGAATTGTCACCAACAGATTGTGAGAGTCTCAAACGGTGAGTGGGTCAGGAAATTCCACCCACCCAGTCACTCCCTCACCTGGTTTTCCTCAGGTGCCCCCTTCCCCAAGTCAAAGAACAGATGAGGATGAAGACTTAGTACTGGACCCTGCCGCTTTCTCCCTCTCCTCCACCACCACTGCTCCTGGGCAAAGCATCTGCACCTGGCCCCACCTACTTCGGGGGTGTCTAAACTCACTCCTCAGCTGCCTGTCCCGCTGCCTGGCTGAAGCCAGAGAGCTGTCTAAACAAATCTGTGCCTGTTCTGTACCCTGGTGATTTATTTACATGTATCTTCCTTCCTGTGTGTCCTGAGATTAAGTTAGGGTACACCTTAAGCCTCTATTGAATACACGCAACTAGAAACGGGGAAGGCGGAGGCCCAATCCCCCTCCAGCTCCTCAGTAAGGTTCAGACCGGCGGCCTCTCACCCCCCACCCACATTTCCACAACAGAAAGGACAGGAGCGTCTTCAAGCCCCCAGCTCCATCATCTTCCACTAGGGGGCCAATCCATTTGCAACCGAGGAGGGAAAAGTAGCTGAGAGAGGCGGAAGCTAGCTCGTCCCACCCCCATGCAAGGAAGTAAGGAAGAGCCAGAACACAACACTGGGGGCGCAGTGGTTAAAAGAGTTTGGCTTCTAACCAAAAGGTCAACAGTTCGAATCCACCAGCCGCTCCTTGGAAACCCTGTGGGGAGTGGCTCGGTCACCAATCCCAAGTTCCTACTACCGTTGAGGTGGTGAGGGTCTCAATTCCCGCTCCCGGGCCCTCTGAGTCCAGGACCAGAGGCGGGTGCCTTTCCCACTCCCAGAAGCCGCGGGGACCACCCCACCACCACCACCACCAGAAGAGAAAGGAGCCGGCTCCTGTCAACAGGCTGTGGAACTGGCTCCAGAATGGGCTGGCCCCTGCTTTGGTGGAAGGGGCTGCAGCTTCCGGGGATCCTGGCAAGAAGAAAGCCCCCTTCGAACGGGGTTACTGCAGCTACTGCTTACTCTCCCCTAAAATTCCCTCCAGTGCATCAGAAACCCTCAAAGGAGCTTCTGGAAGCAAATCTCCTCGCCTCCCGGCTGAGACTCCAGGGGAACCTCAAGCTCACTCGTCCCTGGCCGGACCCCTCGGAAAAAGCCAGTGAGAGTGCCGCACGACCACCCTCTTACCTGCGTCCGAGTCCGCGCTCCCCGACAGCAGCAGTGGGTCGGCTCACCCTCTGGAGCCCCTCCACCCGAGGGCCCGCCCACCTCAGTGTCCATTGGCCAGGGGCCAGGATGCCTCCCTGCCATTGGTTACTTTTCGACATGGAGGCGGGGCCATCCTGAAATACTGTGTTTCTTTCCAACCCAGTTCACTCCCCTTTCCTCTCGCTCCCTACCCCCCAATTCCTAAAGATCATGTGATGGCAGAATCATGTGACGCTCTGGCCTGCCTCAGAGGGCCGTCCAGTTGCCCGCTAGGCTGTTTCCCTACATCCACGCTTCCAGCGGGCGTCTGGGAGAGTTTGAGCGAGGCAAGGCGGCGCCTGTCTGAAGACATTAACAGCCAAGGGGGCTACCCCTCAGGAATTTAATTCAAAGGCGTTTGCATGTGGATTTAGGACAATTGTGCATCCCCTTTGTACTCTATTCAGCAGTTAAATGCTAGGCATTCAGGCCCCGAAAGGGGTTGAGGAAGGTTGTAAGGACAAGGATAAGCAGACCCCAGGCGTTTTTTTCAAGACGCTCAGGGCTGGCCAAGAGTAGGGAGGGGAGACAAGCTCAGAAAAAACCTAATTCAAATGTACAAGGGCGTAGGCCAGGTGCTGTAAGATGTAAACAGGAGAGAGGTTTACCAGAGGGTGGGGAAGAAGAGATTAATTCCACCTTGGGAGCACCTTCTTGACCTGTGTCTAGGAGGATTTTAACTAGCAAGTGGGGAAGGGCTAGGAATCCCTGGGTTGTGTAAACAGTTAAGGACTGGAAAGGTTGGAAGTTCGAACCCACCTAGAGGCACCTGTGAAGAAAAGCCTGGCTGTCTGCTTCAGAAAGATCACAGCCTTAAAAACCCTATGGAAGACACTCTGCACACATAGGGTCACCATGAGTTGGAATCTGGCAAATGTTTTTTAGGGGAGAGGCTGGAGAAGTGACTGGAGAGGGGTGGTGCTGGGAAGAGCATCAGAACACTAGATGGGAATGGCAGGTGTGGGCAGGATTGAATGCCCCGTTCAATGCAAGTGGGCTTGAGTAGCTGCTGGGTGCCTGGCACAAGGCTGGGCTGGGGGTGGGAAGTGGAAGTACTTCCTAGTTTCAGTAGGCCCTGCTTTCCAGAAATTGACACGACAGGTGAGGAGAGAAAATTTACACACAGATTAGCCAGTGACAGGAGCCAGAACTGTTCAGTGCCAAATGGCCTGGCACAGGCAGAGGTGGCTGATGGGGAGAGCCAGAAGAGAGGAGAGGCACAGGGAAAGTGCTGGGGTTGGAGGAAGGGCAGTGGACAGAGGCAGAGTGGATGGAGAGCACCGCAAACTGAGGAGAGGGCTTGAGCTGAGGATGGGACTGGGGTTGTTGTCGTCATCAAGTCAGTTCACACTCATGGCGACTCCACGTGTGCAGAGTAGAACTGTGCTCCATAGAGTTTTCAAGGCTGTGACCTTTCAGAAGAGGATCGCTAGGCCCATCTCCTGAGGCACCTCTGCGTGGGTGGGATCAAACCTCAAACCTTCAGCTAGTGGTAGAGTGCTTAACATTTGGGACACCCAGGCACTCGGGGCTGGGGTAGGGAGACAAATAAGGGTGGTGGGAGTCTAGGTAGGGAAAGAGTGACAGAGTTGTGGAATTGAGTCACAGAGTTTCTTAGCTTGGGGCTAGAAAGGGCCCAGAACGTGGATAAGGCTCCTGCTGCTAAACTAGGACTACTCTGCACCCTGGTGATTTATTTGTGTGTATTTCCTTCCTGCATATCCTGAGGTTAGGGAATATGGCTTATGCTTCTATTGAATACATGCATGCACTTGAGTTTCATGAAGTGTTAGGCAAATTAACAAATGAATCCATTCATCACAACTACACAGAACCAGAGAAAATGCACGCAGGAGAAAAAACCTCCGAAGTGACAAACAAGCATGAATTAGATGTCCCCTGTCAAAGAGATATGACACCAGGGAGTCAGTATCCATTTGGCCCCCTCCCTGAGCCCTTCCCAGGCCCCTTTTGTCAGGCCTTGTGGTCCCCAGGACTCATGCTGCTTCCCCGCATGGCCTCACCCTGCCCAGCCTGGCAGTTAATGTCTTGACTTCTGTCCTTTTTGAGTTTGCTTACAAGGAAATAAACCACAGCCTGAAATCTCTACAGACATGTTCGCTCCTGTCCCATATCTGGCCCCAGGTTCCCTGGTCCCTGGGAAAACCAGTGCTGCCTGCCTGCAACTCTCCAGGCACCTCTGCAAACCCCCTTGAACCCTCCTCTCCTGCCCGTACCTACTGTAAGGGCCTCAATCGTAACCACCTGGGCCTCTGCCCAAGCTGGTGGTTCAGCCAATCCCTGAATGCCCTGGTGTCCAGCCTGATTCCAAAGTGAGGTTTGGTTCCAGTGTATGGAGGGCAGCACTGAGTGGACAGAGGTAAGCAGGGGTGGTCCCATAACCTGACCCCTTGGCATCTCTCCTTCCAAGCATTTTATATCTTTCTTCCTTCCTGCCTTCCTTCTCTTCTCCCTTTCTTCTTTCCCTCTCAGTCTTCCTCCTTCCATCTCCCTTCTTTTTTTTAGTTTTAAATACACAATTCAATA